TAGAGAAAAGCTAGTAACACTGCTTCAGATGTGAGTGGGGAAGTCAGAGATGGGAATTGCTGCTGGGAAGCAGTATCCGGCAAGGTACCTGCCATAATGGTTCTTCAGTTAAGCAATAGAAGAGGGGAGGATACTCAGATGTCGTGCAACTATGGATGAGGAGTAATTGTGCAAACATGTTTTCATCTTCAGGCTTCTGTAGGAACTTCATTATCCTCAAACTGGTTACTAAAGAAAATGTCATAGACAAGAAGAGACAGACTTAAAAAAAAGTATTATCCCGGCACCAGTGTCTTTTTCTCTACTGATCACGCCCCTAGACTCTGCTCATCTGCTCTATCACACGTTGTCATCTTGCTATACTTAAGAAGATGAACATTGTTCTCTCTTGCTGTGCTTGAAGGAGCTACAGAGAAAAAGGGGGAAGTCACAGACCTAAAATGATTGGTCACGTGTGAAGATGCTCATACATGTATGTTTGCATTCACTGCCACAGGGCATAGCCACCTCTCTGTGCCTGTAGCAGGAAGGACGTAGGCAGAAGTTTTTTGCCATCAAAAATAGACATGAATTGGCTTGGGTGTATGTATGCTGTTTTAAAAACTCCTGTAACTGTGTGGTGGTGGGTGCATGGAGCAATCAGATCCAAGAGCTGTTGGAATCTCTAAGCAGAAGTGATGGCTGTACTGTAGCACTTACATTTTTGCTTGATTCTCAGCTGTATGTCCTTGAAGAGAGTGAGTCTCTAAGTGTGCGCTGATGTGGGACTTCAAAGGTGCAGGTGCTGGACTCATGGTTACAGCCCATATATAGAATGTAACTCCAAGAAATTGGAACTTACTAGTAGTATCCAGTACCTTAGGTATAGTTTTATGAGTAAGATGCATACCTAACAAATGAAGAAGGAATAGAGGAAAATACTTTCTGTGGCAGAAAGATAGGAAGGGTGTATATGTCATATTTAAGTTGAAAATCCCAGAGTTTAAATGGAACATGAAAGGTGAAAATGAGTGGTTTCTCTGACATTTCTTCATGAGTGGTAAGAGTCCCAAGTTTTTCTGAATGCTTCTAAAACTGTTTTCTGCAAAGTTATGTAATGACCACTCTTCCTTCCTATTGCTTTATGTGAAAAGGCTCTTTAGAGCCAATGCAATAAACGGAGATTGGACAGGATAAGAAAATAAGTGTAAAACAAGAAGAAATGACTGTTTATTTACATGTTACTTTCTATCATTGACAATTACACTTCAGAATTTCATTTTACTGCTCTTTTTTTTACATTCCACACACACTCCTGCCCCCTCATTTACTGGGTTGTTTTCTGCAGTGTAATCTTCTCTCATGTACCTTTTTTGAATCCAAAAAAAATGTTTCTTCTACTGATCAACTTGGATCTATAGCTCTTTGGGTGTGTTATATACATGCCTGTGTTTGAAGATAAATTTTTTATTTCTCCTAAGCTTTGTGCTGAGATTTCCTTGGCAAAGAGGAATGGCAGAAGTTTGAAGACAGTAGTAAAAATACAATGTTCAGTAATTCAATAATACATCAGTACTTTTTGTCTTTGATAAAAGGAATTTAGGTGTTACTTGTTTCCAATGCCAATGTGAAATGGCTAGAGACAGGAGAAAATGTGAAGAATGCAGTAACATATAAAGGTGTGTTACAGGTAATTCAGTATATGTGTACTTAATTTATCAGGTGACCAGTGAATAAGTGGTGAAGTTTAAAGGGAAATTTGTACTTTGAGCAGTGAAAATTTCTATGTGTACTTTAATATAGTTAAGTATTTAATAAAGACTCCTTTTGTAATTGCTGTCAATCCTTTTTAAAAAAAAATCTTCTAAAATACAGTTGGGATCCACTAATTATTGCTTTAGCTTTACATCATGTATTTCATAAGGCTAATTAGAAGATGTGCACTGCAGTACACACAAAAAAAAATGAACACAGTAATGTGTCTGGCGTAATGTTTGGCAAGAATTCTTTTTCATCAGCATGTTCTTTTGAGAAGTTCAACAACACTTGCGGTTATTTAAGTAAAATAATTAATATACAATACTATAAGATAAGCAAAGGTAAAGTGCACTTCCAATGCACAGAATCCTTGGGGTGAAGGATTTTTCTTTCCTGTATTATTCCCTTCTTCAGGTCATAAATTTTTGAATGGGAAACCCTTTGTATGAATACATTGTTGAATGTGCTATTGTCAGTAACGTAATAACAACAGTCAGAGGTTCCTAGCTGAATGAGATTCAATTGATTTGTCTTACTTTGCAAGATTGCCTGAGGCATATGACGCACATGATAATTCAGATTCACAAGACCAGGTTTCTAAAGTCAAAGTGGAACTGGATGTAAGAACAGATAACGGGAGGGACATATGATGGTAGAGAAAGCACTTGAGGAAAAGAAAATAGCTGTCAAAAGGAATTTTTCATCATAAAATTGATTTGAATTGTTAAGTTAGAAGGCAAGTATTTAAAGGGAATTAAAAAAAAAAAAGTTTTTGAGAGAGAGGAAATAGTAGAATTAATGACTAACAGATGACATCAGATTGAAAAGAAAGCTAAGAAATACAGTGCTGGAGTGTTGATTGAAGTTTTAACTTTTTTAATGGTAATGCAAGTAGAAAAATACAGGGAATATTTTCGTCTATACACGTGGAAATGCTATCAGTAGCTTGAACATCAGCCATGTGTCATCCAGAGTAACAAACTTCAGATTGGACCTTTAGACAGTGCTGACCCATCATGAGAAAAACTACTGAAACAGGTGTTTTAGTTCTACTGATAAAATGCTTAGGTATAAAATGCTTAGGCTTATCGTGCATACATATGTGTATATATGTGTATATGAATATGAGTTTGGGGATGGATTTAAGTTGGCAAACTCTCAGAAACATTCCGAAATTCAAGAGAGCCAGTTGCGTTTTAGCCTAACTGGGTGCCATGTAACTAATTGGCCTTGCTGCAGAGAGCTGTGATAAGATTTTCAAGAGTAACTCACAGTGGCCATTAGCTCTCACAACCTTACAACTGTTGGGATGACTTGTTTCCACTAAATTTTTATAGAGTCAGCAAAAATCTTTGAGCTGCTAATTTGGGTACAAAAGGAGGAACTGTCTGTGTGGGTTTTTTTTGCTGTTTCTCTCTGGTTGGCAGTGCTAGTCCATGCAGTTATGTTTGGTACTTCCTGAAGTAAATATGCCATATCTGAAGTTATTTACAGTTAGCAGTTTTTAACTTAAATTGCTCGTCTCTGCCGAATTATACAACTTCCGGTATGTCTACAAAATTTGCCTTTCTTTTTCCTCCTAAGAGTTTTTAATCTGTATGTGAACAGATACGTAAACAAAGTGTTGCTGCCTTTTATACTTTGGCCTTGTTTATTAAGTGGTAGTTGAATGTACTTTTATGGAGGCTTTAAATACTTTTAAGACAGGCATTAACATGGTCAGGCAATTATTATTAGATTACGCAATCCCAATTTCCTGACAGAGTGACAAATACCCTATGCATTGTCACAGTAAAGTCTGAGTTATATAACTATTTTGTCATGCCAAAATTACATCAAAACAGATATATTTCAAAACTGGAATTGGTTTGTTTGTTTGTTTGTTTTTCCAATATATTTTCCTGAGTAAGTTCTCTATCATCTATGCAAATGTTTTTTTAAAAAAGGAAAGAAGCCTGTAAATATTTTACATATATATACAGAATTAGCAAGATAACTATATAATATTTATGCGACAGATGATATCTGCTAATTCAATGTTAATTTTGTTGCTATCACCATAATATTGAGATATAGACAGTTTTTAAAATCTTAATTGGAGCCTTGTTTTCAGTTTTGTTTACTGTAATAATGTATTGAAGTTCTGATATTTGGAATTGTGCATGTAGCTTAAAGAGTGAAAATCTATACCTGTAAGTCCCTTAGTATAAACTCTCTTTGTATGCTAGTTTGAGGTTACTTGCCAAAGTAATGGATTGGGAACAGATGTGCAATCCTAAAGCTCAAGAACATTGTGAACAGCCCATGGAAATAAAGGAAGTGGACATGGATCAAATAGAAACACATTGGGAAGAAACACTGTAGATCCAAAACCAAATTTTGAACTGTAGATGACAAGGTGTGAACATAGTTTGTGCTTTCATCTTTCAGATACTGTCAGTAGGGAGACTGAGGACGTCGTTAAGCAGTTGTTTTTTTTCCCTGACCTCATTTTGGGGAAAAGATGGTGTAGCTTTTCTGTTTTTCTTTGTTCCCCCCTGCCCTGTTCAAATGCATTCTTTACTGTTCATATTGCCTTCTGAGAGAGATATGTACAAGTACAGTGTGTTTTGCTCTTACCTGTTTTATAATGTAAGTAGAATGTAGGGTTTTTTTCTCCACTTTTTCAGGCAAGTATAGTGATACTTTCAAAAGTAACCTTATATGTTTTATAAATTGTTTGTGTGTTAGCTGCTTTGATATTGACAGAAATGTTCTTATCTTAATTTCGGTATCTCTATTTGTATCACTATATCTAATAATATATATTATCAAGAATTATTAGGAAGCAGAGAATCTAAATAATATTGTACTAGATAAATCAAGTAAGATATTGTTAAGACTATAACATACAGAGAAATCTTTTTTTTTTTTTTTTTTTGCAATTATATTTGGAGGTTCTAACTGATGTTTGGGTCCCATGGCATGAGATTAAGTATTTGTACATACATTAAGTATTTTGTACATACAACACCTGTTAGCGCATTAGAGAATTTTGTGATCTTTCAGTTATCCTAACTAACATTTACTTTATGTATTAACCTTACTCTTAGAGAACTAAGACTTCCCTTCACTGTACCAGGAAGCTGATGATGTAACAGAGTTTACAATGCAGCTCTGAATCCCAGTCTTAGCACACAAATTCTTGAGCTTCAGAAGCAGTCATAACAACATTGTTTCAGAGGCACAGTTGTTTTGACAATTTCCATGTCTTGTTTTGCTAGAAAGATGAAGAAAACTCTGAAGAAGAGATGGCGGGGGCGAACGTTATGAAAAGAGGGAAAGAAATGATGTTGAACAGTAAGCAACACCTCTATGTTGTGCATCCTGTGATCCAGAAAAACAAAAAAGTACACAGAGTGGGTTCAACCACCTTCTTGGTTGGAAAGACACCCAAAGAAATACGCAGGTGAGAACAAAGTAAAATTCTAGGCATGAAATGTTACTGTTGTTCAACCCTACTCAGGGAATACTGATGATTTTCTGTGGCAAGAGCAGAACTAATGGGATACTTCCACTCAAACTCTATGGAGTCACATAATTGATTAATAAAACAAACTGAATCCACAAATCAGTTTAATGTGTTGGTTCGATCTGTCATATGTTATATGACACTGTGCAGATGTCATCACCACAGTGTTCATGGTATGTGCACCATGCAGTATTGCAAACTAATGTTTTAGCTGTCTAGAAACAAGAAATGTTATAGTGAGAGCTTCTGACTGTCTACTGGTTTTGTCTAGATTTCATCACTTTCATAGACTGTAAAAAGATTGGACATATATATAACTTTTTATCGTGAAACTCAGTATTTTTTTTTAATATTTCTTTTAATATGTTTTTTCCCTTCATCTTTGGAAAGATAAGAGTCTTTCTGTCTTATTTTTCCTTTTTCCCCAAATTCTTGCTGTCAATATTGTTAATTAAATTCCATTGATACATAGATAGCCAGGTGGTATGTGGAAAAGAAAGTGGAAAGCTATTGCTAAGTTGGCAAATCTGGAATTCGGATTTGGTATATATTTTTAATTTGGCCTTGTGACAAGGAAATCACTATGATAGTTGGTATATAAGTCATTTTGAAAATTGCTTCTTTTGTTCCTAATTAAAGTTGTTGGTTATAAAACGTTTTTTCTTTTTGATTATTACAGGAGACAATTTGAGGAAATGGTATCTCACTTCAATATGGGATCAGTGGAAGAACTTGCAGAACATATTACAAAAGCTACATCAGAAACACGGCAGAAGATGTTGAGAGAATTTTACATTTCAAAGCATCCAGAGGCGGAATCTTTGTTTCCAGTTGAAATACCAGCACAAGTTTCTCACGATTATGTGGAAAGAGAAGCGGATGCAAGAAACTCTAGAAAAAGAAAATCTGTTGTTAATTTCGGAAGACTCAAGTCTAGACTTTCATCAGCTAAAGAACTTCTGAGTGGAACTACAGGAATGCAGAAACAGCAAAGCTGTGAAGAAGTAGAGCAACTTCACAGTGATTTCTGTTTGCAAGATAATGTGTGTGTTAAAAATACAAAATACAAACAATCACTCACTGATGCTACTCAAGATATTGAAAGGAGAAACAGTCAGGCATTCAAGGATTTTATGGCATCTGGTTCATTAAGCAGTAAATCAGAAATAATTGAGGTGCTGTCTGTAAAAAGCTGTGAAGAACAGCAGGATTCAGCAGTAATAGAGCTGCCAAGAAAAAGATCCCTGTCTCAGTCAGAAAACAAGGAGAGAAAAGCTGAGACTTATAAGAAGTCTTTTGTGGACTTGCTTGGAGATACCTCTATTCTCAATGACCTCTTCGGAAATGGTGGAAATGAGCCTACGGAATCACCAAGGAGAATCCCTTCGGGGCAAGTAGAAAAATCAAAGGAAAGACCGAAAGACTTCTGGGACATGCTGAATGAGCAGAATGAGGAGAGCCTCAGAAAGCTCACGGACCTGGCAGTCATAGAGAAGCTGTGTGAAAGAGCACCTCAAGCAGTGACAGAGAAGAGAGGTGTGTGTGAAAGTTCTCTTTGGAAAAAAAATGAGAACTTTCTATGGAAAAAACACAGTACAGATGATCCAGATGAACCATCCACTGCTACATCTTGTGATGTAGTGAAATGAAGATTTTCTGCGTGAGTTGGACTATAATTGTTTTAGTTAAATGAACATTAAAATGTGTAGAACTTCTGCAAAACATGATACCTCCTTGAAATGAAATGTAAAGTGATGAATTCATATTTATTATGATACTAGTGTACATTTTACATTGACTAAATTGTACATTATCATAAGCTATGACATACCATTTTAGATTAAATTCTTTTTAAATGTTTTGAGTGCACTTTGCTTTCTTGAATCCTGATTATATTCCTACAGTCGGTAGCAATGCTAAGCAGTTTTCCCCGTGTGCACATTTGCTACCCTCAGACATTGTGGCAGAATCTGAGTATGGTAACAGGATTTGACAAAGCAACTCTTCGTATTTTCTGAGCTACTGAGGACTCGGAGCATCCAGAGACAGGGGTGATTTCTAGACTTAAATGTTTTTTTTTTTTATTGGATTTTGCTCAGTCTCTCTACAAAGCTTTGGAGCTTCTAATTAACTTCAGTATCCTGCGGCAGTGAGTTCCTCGGCTTAGTTGATGTGAAGGAGCACCAATTTTAGTTTGTTCACTGTCTTTTTCAGTGTGAGATCTGCTGCATGTTAAATGATGTGAAGTGTAAAATTTCATGTCACTACATTTCTACCTTTTTTATAGGCTTCAGTGATGCCTTTGTCAGATTATGTGGTCTGAACACTTTGGTGTTGAGAACTATGTAAGGAAAAAAGTTTCTATTTTCAAATGGAATAAAATATATTCTGACTTTTAGCAAATTTCAGGAAGAATGTATTGCCATTCAGTAATTGAGACTCATGGTCTCTTCATTTCATACATCTATTTGGTATGAAAAGATACAGGTGGTACAATAATGCAAAACAAATATGGCTTATACTTGAAAACTGTCTTTCTTGCTCAGCTTAACAAATGAAACAAGTTTCCTTTTATAAGTACTGTATCCTGATTTTATTTAAAAGTTTTAACAAAAATGTTAATTTTTATTTTATTTTTTAAAACTATGATATGGTATTTCATGTGCACTTAAAAAAGAAGAAAAAGGTTATACTACTGTGTATATGGACTGTCAGGTTTTTGTTCTAAACTCAGGCTTGGGTAGCTTAAAAAAAAAAAAAGTTGACGAAATTAATCTGAGTTAGTTTTGCCGTTGACACTAAATATTACTGGCATTGCAGCCTAAATTCAGCTTCTGCTGATAGTTGGAAGTTTTGTCAGTCGTGTTTCCCACTTTCAAGTCACACACTTCCAAGTCAGACCTTTCTCTCAAGATGATCCATTATCTCATCGATGTGCACGATCATCAGTTTAAAGAAGAAATGACTGAGTGCAGTCATTCCCATCAATCCTGTCACTACTGGAAGCATAGGGGAATTTGTGCATAACGTGGTTGTATCTGTATCCCATTATTTAACCTTTGAGCCTATTTTCAAGAGGGCAGAAGGGGGGCAGCTGTGGGTATGGTCTGGGTGGTGTTCTGGTTTCATAAGTAGGCATCATGGCACATGATGGGCCTCGATGTGGACACATCAATGTCTATTGGCTCTACTGCAAGGGCTGCTGAAGAAGAGGCTGGGGTACAGCAGTGAATGCTTGAGGAAAGCACTGATGCCATTCCCAGCTTTGCACCAAATACATTTCAACCTCTGCTATGTAGAGTTCTCTGCAGATTTCTGTCTTTAAATGTAGGGTGTTTTGTGTTCCTCTAGTTTTGGCATGACAGCTGCTGTGTGCTCGTTTTGATCTGGTTGCTCTTTTTCAGCCAAGGCAAATATTTACATGCGTTTTCTGCATTTGACTTCACCCTCCTACACAGGAATTGAAATGTGCCTGTATATGATCATAGTATCTAACATTAGCACTTCTCAGAACATCAAATTTATATACTATTACTTTCCACTCACAGCTTTCAGGGAAGATTATTTTTGTGTTGAACTTCTTAAACTTCCTTTTTGACCAACAGTTCACTAGTGGTATGTAGGGTTGCAGACTCAGGCACTTAAAAATGAGGATGGAAGGTTCAGCCATAAGTCCTTTCTCTGATGCATGTATCAAACACGTGTTACCAAATAGGATGTGTAATAATGTTTGTGTTTTTTTTTTTTTAATCTAGTCATGATTGTAAGGTGAGGTACACGGGCTGTACACTACCCAACTAATTCTGCAGTGGAACACTGATTTATTCTACCAGGAGGCTAAGGAACACGATCCTAAGAGTTCTTTATATTCTGCATCCAAAATGCTAAAAGTAATTCCATACATCTGTGTAAAAGTAATACTTTTGGAGGTGTGCTTTAAAGGAAAACACCTAATGGATCTTTCTTTTGTTTCTGTAGGTGATATAATACACATAATTCAAGAAGTCAGAGGTTATGTTGTCAGTTTTTGAGAACGTACAATAGAGTATGTGTGGAGTAAGAAGACTGCTACATACCCACAACTTGTCATCTTACTCCTGAAACACTGGCTGTAATAAAATCTCCAAATGAAAACTTTTTCACAGATTAAGAGAAGTGGTTATAAGATAAGCAATGTCATGTCTCATATGCCTCATAGTCTGTCACATTTCTCAATACTACGATATCGTGTGAAGGAGTACCTTATCATAACACACAACCAAAAGAGACCAAGACTTCATGTTGCTCTGGAAACCTTAACCATAATCTTTGATTTCTGTAAGCTTTGACATCTTAAATTTAATGCTGTATTAGCATAGGGTTTTACATTGAGTATACTGTATAAATTGTTTTATGTGAAGGGTAAATGTTATGAAATTTTAAAACCTTGGACACTGAAGCTGCACAGCAGCAGTCTGTGAATGGTGGTGGTTTTTGTGGTCTGGATGACTGCCCATTGGAAAATAAGCTTAAATTTGATCTGGAGCAGCTTCTACTTTAGGTCATGGGAAGCTGTTGTAGGCTTTGCTCTGTCTGTTAACTGTTATGCGCTTGTTGTAAGTGGGAGCCATCTAAAAACCGAACTGGGAAATCTGACTTAGCTACCTGGAACAAGGAGCTCAGTTCTGAACGTACACGATGAAGTAGTAAGACGCTTGGTCTTTATAGACAACTAATGTGAATAAAATAAATGTGTTCCCTAATCATTTCTCTTTCTTTAACCCTGAATCTATGCAGTAAGCATTTTATTATACAATGACATTAAGATGCAAAATGAAATTCAGGACAGTCAACTGGAGCAGCTGTTTGTTTTTATTTTGTTTTGTTTTTTAATCTCAACTAAGAAAATAAAGGAGCCTTAAAACTGTTAGTTATTGGTGCCTTTGAATTATGTACAGTTAAAAGAAGTCAATGTACGATAGGGAATATCTGGACCCTTCGTTTTGATGTTACTAAGTAGGGCATAAATTAAGTCCTTTGATTGATGGCATTAATACTGATTTTCTTTACAGATTCTTCTGCTTAGTGAGGCAGACTGCATCTGCTTAACGTACAGAGGAGAAGATTTGGTGGAACAAAGAATATGGCCTTCAAATGCATAAAAGTGATGCAGAGAAAGGGCATAGTGCCTTCACTTCCACTGTGAAAAGACAAGAGGTGAGTGGCTTAAGCCACACCAAAGATAACAGGTTAGATAACAGGACAAGTCTCTAAGAGTAAATATTGTGTAATATGTTGCTTAGGGAGGAGTGCCAATGTTAATGAGGTCATTAAGAATGCGAGACAAATATCTGTTAGAAATTACATGGATATAACTGGACATATTTTAGGGAAAATGAAAGGGCTGGTAGCTTCTCAAATAATCTGAAAGCTGGAAGGGGCTAAATAATGTGTATTTTAGTTTATACCAAAGTGCTAGGGAGAGATTTCACTCCAACACCACTAGATTGTCAGTCATGGTGTAAATCAATAGATAATGGGGAAGATGTGATCATATTGAGTTTGGTCAACATTTCCTTCTTTCCTTTCTTTTAGAAGGTTTCATGCAGTAGAAATGTACAGGTACAAGGCTGAAATGCTAATTAATTCCCAAGAAAGAAGTCATCAGATTTCTGAAGTAATGAGGAAATTGTTTCTCATCTGTAAGATGACAAAATGTGTATGTCAAAACCTCCATAGAAATGCATGTTTTATTCACATCTATGCCAAGTACTGCTAACTTATTAGTGGAAATGCATTTTTATTTTAATCTGTAATTAAGCTGAGCTACGGGGTGATGTCTTGAAGTAAGATTTACCTTACTCTGTATCTTCCTGTGCAAATTTAACGTATTTTACCAGGGAGTATCACCTAACCCGTAAATAGTGCAATTTAGTGCCCTAGGGATGTGTGTATAAAATATTTTTGTCATGAATAAGATGTGTGTATGATTTTAAAAAGACAAACTAATTCAAAAAGGACGACATTTTGAAGGCATATCCTTCAAATGTTAAAAGTAAACAGCTTTTTTCTTAATGGAAATCTGTGACTATCATTTTGTTTGGATTTGAAAATGAAGGAGGCTTTGGGGAATTCTATGTTTAGAATTTCAGTGGAGTGAGATTCGTGCAGCTTCTACTCACAGGTTCCTGCTTGATTGCAGTGAGGCACAGACTACTGGGAGATTCTAACAGCTTCCAATCGTAAGGAAATGGCTTCCTGGCAGTTATCACCTGATCTCAATTAACCTGATTAAATCACCTGATTAAATCAGCCAAGAGGAGAAGGATGTCTTTTTTTCTTTTTTTTTTTTTGACCTTGTTTCCAGCTGAAAGCAGCTTGCATGGGTTTTTTGTTTGTTTGTTTTGTGTTCTTTTTTTTTTTTTTTCTCCTGTTCCTTTTTGGAGTTTCCTTGTTCTTGTAGCTGATGGGGTTCTGATGGTTCTGGCTCTGGGTCCCTGACCCGACAGAAGGTTTCAATAGTTCCCTTTGGCTTTGGTGGGAATTCTTTGACGGGGGGTAGGGGAATAGGATGCCAGTGAAATGGCAAGAAATCTGACCCTGCCTGCAGTAACAAATGCAGCTCTGTCAGCAACCTGTTTACAAAACTGTCACCAGACCCACTTAAAAACAGTGTGTGTGTCCTGGGTCTGTTTTGTAAGTGCAGTTCAGATCTTAAGCATGTTTTACAAATTAGAGCTATGCTTATAACTGGATTTGGGAATAGCCATGTGGTACACACATTTCATTTTTAGGTCTGGGGGAGGGAGAATGAATAATTTCCAATAATGAATGTGTTTAAAAAAGTCCGTGTGTGCATACAAACATTTCATGAACACAAAAAGGCAGTTTGAAAGGATGTATTTGCTCAGCTTTAGCGGGTCATGACTTCAAGCACTGAAAGGCAAACCAGCGCCAGCACCATAGCCTTAGCACAGTGAGTGAAAGCAGCATTAATAGGAAATAATTAATAATAATGAATTATTAGATAAGAGAAATGGCTAACAGTATAATCATAACGTAAAAATTATCACTAGATACTTCAAAGATGAGAATACAGTTACCGTGTATGAGAAAGATTATTTAAGTTACTTGCTTAAGAATCTTTGCAGCAGAAGGAGAAGATTCTGTTCTTCCAAGGAAGCATTTAACTGCCTTTGCTATTAGGTCTTTTCCTGTTCCAGCAGTGCCCTGCATATTTTATTCACTGCATACCTTCCAGCTTATGCAACAAATGAGGTAAGATTCTTATGAAAACTTGCTCTCCTTACATTCCACAATTCCATACATCTTGATTCAGTGCATCCTATGGATAAAAGTAATGACCATCTAAATAGACTTCATGCCAGGATCTACCTTCCTGAATAGTGCACCTAAAAAACAGGTAACTGGCTCAACGTAACTCAGACCATTCAATTTCTGAGATATTAATTGTACTCCTAGATTGTGCAAGTGAGAGGTACACAGAAATTCAGAACATTTAAGATGTTATGCCCTTTTTGCTGTAGAACATGTGTGGACCCTAGGATCTTCCTTGTGATAGTAATTGAACCTGTATCTTGTATATGATTGTGCACAGAAGACACTAATTCTAAAAGAGGAAAATGGGTCTGCACAGATTGGTGGGCTTCAGAGTTGTTCAGCTGACATCCTAACCTTTGTTGAATTGGCATCCAAAAGCCTAAATTGCATTTTTTCCAAAGACCAAGTGAAGACTATTCCGAAATGAAAGAAGTAACTTGTTGTAGGTATTCTCTATATGCATGATACTTAAGAGTTATTTGTGTTTGCTTGAGTTGAGAGGGTGGAATCAAGTGGTCACATTCTGACCTTGTGTTCAACTGAGATTGTGCACATAGTGATCTATACAAACTGGAACATGAGCAGGCCTGCTGCACTAAAGCACCGTTTTCTGAAAATGCATACACAGAGAAAAATTACATTAGAATTTGCATCAGTGTATAGTAACATGTACCAATGGCTAAGTATTGGTAATATGTTTAATATTAACGTTAGCAATCCCTAACATTGCTCTCATTAAAGACAATGGCAAAGCAGCATGGATAGTTCAGATGCTAAATGAATACCAGCTCAACTCAGAATGAATCTGTGTTTTACTTCACTAGAACTGTTTATACTAAAGGGATTTTCTTCCTCTATGGTTTGATACTAAGTTGTTTCCATCAAGTGGACTCTCATGTAAACATGATCTCCTGTATCACCCTGAAAATCATTCTATGCCAATTGCTTTAAAAACAAATACCAGATGTATATTTATGTTGTTTGAAGTAAATGCTCACAACTGTAGGCAGTGCTGGCCTCTCTGTGATTAAGGCTCTGGTGGAAGTTACAGCAGTTCCGAGTTGTCCTGGTTCATAATTCAATGACAACGAAAATAAATCCATACTGTGGTCTAATTGGGAATATAATTTACGTACCTCCGAGAAAGCTGCTTTCTTAGAACATCTCTTTTGTGCTTTGGTATCTACACCCCCACAGTAGATGCAGATTTGAACTTGCCTTAGTCCTTCTACATGCAGAAATTGTATGAGCTCCTCTTGCCTCTGCCTGCCCCACACAGTTTTGTAGTTGCACTTTACAAATTACTGGATTACAATACACTACTTGTGATTTAACAGTTTTATACCTGGAGGGAATATTGGGGAATATTTTGTCTGCATGCTTTGGGAGGGATATTGAGGGTTGGGAAAGGGGTCTCCCTACTACAAGAGATCAGGCTGTCAGGGCCATACACAGAACCAGCCTTCTGAAAGCCTGCCTATTTTTGGCCAAGCTCTAAAAACTGGTTTGTCCATGTTCCATGTACGTTTCCTAGAGAGTAGCACCATTATTTTTCTTAAACTCAGGATATCTGGGTTTTAAACACACAAAGTCCTCTTTAATTTAGTTACTATGTTTTAAGCATGCCACCCGCTTGTCTTCTGTTGCTTCAGTCTTTCAGAGGCAAGAAGTGAGTGTTCAGAATTGCTGGGAAGCTGTAGTGAATCTGTTCCACCTACTGCAGAGAGCTTTTTAGACTTGAACATTTTTAGCCTTGCAGGATTACAGGATGACAGACATGAAGTCTGTGATATGTGTCTGGTTTCACCTTTTGGTTTTGGTCATGTAGGAACCAGGAATTAACTGAGGGCTAGAAAAGATTATAGTCACCAGTAGCTTAATTTGGATGAGTTGAGATGGAAGCCACTGTGCAGCTGTGGCCTCTTCACAGCCGCAGAAAGGCTGCAGCTGAACTGGAGGTGCAAACTGGAATTTCTTCATTCTTGGCTTTCTTCTGGGACTGTTTATACAGAAGAATTGCAAATCTGAAAGGGAAAGAAATAAAGGCATATTTCCAGGATCATGTTGTTCTGTGCAAAGAAAAAGGGCGATGGCCTGGGAAAAAAGAAGTTAGTATCAATGAGAATACTGCTAAAGATTGTGCTGTGGTACATATATGGAAGTTTTCATGAACAGTTTTAACATTGGCATTTTCTAACTTTTGACTGTTTTTTTAGCCTTAATATTTCTGCCATGGTTTTGACGCTGTGATTTTGGAAAACTTTAAGGAAAAAAAAAATAAAAAGCAAAAAGAAAAGCAATTCAAACATGAGTGATTCCCACATGGATCATCATTAACATTTAGAATCACAATTTCTGACATTTGTCCAATTGGAATGGCTCATAGCAGTAACTAGTAGGTTGCAGTCTCTTCTATGGACCAAACACTTAGAGGAAGAAAGGATATAGATGCTAGTAGATGTCACAGATACTAACTGAAAACAAAGGAGTGCTGGGACTTGTGAATTATTGTTTCTGTTCTACAGTCTGGCGAGATTGTATTATGTATTTAAAACGCAATGGATCATTCTGCCCTGACTTCTACTTTCTCACTGCACCTGTCCTTCCGTGTCTCCTCTGCTTTTTCATTTCTTTCTTGCTTGTTCTCAGGTTAAGCAGCTTCCTTAAGTATACTGCATGAGTACCATCAATGGTACCATCAATATACTGCATCAGTACCATACTGATGGTGTCATAAACAGAATTTCTATGCTTTCAGATCTGGTGCCACAGCAACTCCTGGGGGCCAGAACTAGAAACTGCATAAAAAGTCCCAAACTGCCCTGTATATCCTTTTCTACCTGGGAGGATGCTGCTTAGTTGGCCTGTGGGAAGGATGCACACATGGTCTGATGATGGGCATGGAGGAGATGTATGAGGTTAAGGTCTCCTTCTGTCGAAGAGGAATATACAGAAAATAATGGTGCTGCTCTCTATGAAACCTATATGGAGCATGGGCAAAGCACAGTTTTTAGAAATTTATAACTTGGCCAAGGTTTGGGACATTTTCAGACAGCTAGTACCAGGCATGACCCTGACAATTTGATGCCTTACAGTAGTGAAACACATTTTCCCAGCCTCCATATCTCTCTAAAAAGCATACAGACAAAATAGCTTCTCGATAGCTTTCAGGGGTAGGGAGGGAATGGGGAAAAAAAGGAGATTGCTCTCCTTTAACCCCATATTCAGAACAGCTGTACTATTTTACTTGAAACTTAACAGAAAAAAAAAAAATCAGCCTGATACAGACACCCAGCATGGAAAATTTCAGCTGGAGCACTGAGAGTTTGGCGAAGTTATAAACAACTGAAAGCAAGGTCCTATAATGGAAAGTGTTAAGCAAGTTTAGCTGTTGGTGGGAGTAACAGCCGTGCTTAAAATACATGTACAGATATACATTTGTATGCATAAGCAGCTATGCAGTGTCACCATGATAGAGCAGATACCAGTGGGTGAGACAGTTCCTGGTATTTCTGATTAGGTATAAAGTAATGAGAAGAAGTCAGTCTGTAGGCACTTTTGCTCTCTTTAAGCCCTACGGGGGCAGCTCAGCAGCCATGCTGCAATCCTCATGCATGAGAACTCCTTACCTGCCGAACACAATGAAACTGCTACTTTTGGATCAGTATGTAGGACATATTTAAGGAGACCATGCAAGGGTTTGGCCAGTGTGTCAATGGTTAAGCGCACTGTCTTGCTTCAAGACCCTGGGGAATTAAACTCTGGAGATAATATTTTAGCACTAGAGTAACAGCTGTGGAAAAGTTTGCCCTTTGCCTATTCTGCATGTAGTTTGTTCTCACCATACACCATAATTCCTGTGCTTGGGAGAGGAAAGGATGTGAGGTTTTCTTGTATGCAATAAACTCTATCTGTCTGTTTTACTTCACTGGATTATAATGGAAAATAATATTTGAAACACTCACTGATTTTAGCTAAACTAAACAAGGAGTGACAGAACCAACATTATTCTTTAACAAAATTGTGGGGAGAGCTCCTTGTCATCTCCCTATGCAGTAAAAATAGCTTTAAGATGTTTGCATCAGCAGTTTCTCCTCTTGAAAGCTGTGTTTAGATGGCATAGGCTTTTCACTATTTCTTTTTGGCATGGTATGCGCATACTGTAGTAATCCATTTTTTCATCAGCTTGTTGCTAATAATGAGCCACCTAAGCTCTGAAAACCTCCCTCTGCCGTTAGCTGTAGAAGAATGCTTAAAGGATTTAGGGATGTCAGTCATCATCTTGTTTTTTAGCAGGAGTGTGTGTATGTGTGTGTGGGGATGAGGGGAAGAGAGCATGAGTTGGAGTTCAGAAATTACACTGTGTGTGTGGTCTGAGGTTATTTCTCATTTCATGAAATGCACGCTTCATTCCTGGCTCAGGCAAAACTTGCACGTCACTGAATAAGTCCCTTATCCACTTTCCAAAACACTGAAGAGATTTGAAAGGGCTCTGTGGGTGGACTGCTACTATCAGCAAAACCAAATAAGCTAACTTATTTAGCTAAGCATTTTTTAATACTTAAACATAATAACCTTCAGCAACACTTGAACAGTTGTGGCCAGCCAAGGGAAGAGAAGGGGAAAAAATGCAGAAGTTTAAGCAGTCACACCTTAATTAACCTTAAAGGCTGGATTATAGTTCTTGATGTGTAAAGGTGCTGTCTGATCAGTCCAGGGAGAGCACAGGGGGATGATTAAATGAACTGGCTGTACTGCTAGGAGTCCCCTGGGGTGTGCTAGCCATGATTTATTCAGGATTTCACCTTCCCTTAATCAAATGTGGTGTGGTCCCAATATAGTCATGCTTGAAAAGATGAATCCAAAGACACCTTGTATCAGGCTGTTTTGGTGTCCAACAAAAGCAAACGGTGCTACCTGGAAAACCATGGATGTCCAGCAGCAAAGAGTTACTGCAGCAAATACTAGTTCAGTGTTAAATCTCAGTATACAAAATAACTTTTGGTTTATTTAATGGCAGAAAAAAAATAAAATAAAATAAACCCAGAGAGCAGTCAGGATACTAATGAAGCAAATGAGTAATCATGGGTGGGAAAAACCTAAATGACAAGACAACACCAGGGAGCCTTACAAAACATTGTTATTCCTCTAAATGGAAATTATTTAGCCAGAACAGGGCTGTGTACTGCAGATTGTTTTCAGGCCAGTAGACTAACACTGATCTTGATAAATTTACTCTAAATTAACAGTGTAGCTAATGCCCCAACTGTCTGACCCATGTATTTACAGGATTAACTTCATTATCTGTCTGAGTTAAGTCAAGCTGGAAGAATCTCTTTCAAAGTGATCTTGGAGCCTGAGAGATCAGGATCTGTGAAAGACCATGCAGGGTAAAGCACGGTAATGTAATTTGATCAAGGCATCCTCCGACAGGTGTATAGCATGATCTTGCCCTTATTAGCACAGGACAGACCCACACCTCTCAAAGCAGAGTACAGGGCTAAAGGCCTTTGCCCAGGGAGGGAGATTCTCTTTCACTGTGGCATGAGAGGGGAAATAGTTGGGTTATAGTTGGAGGATTTTACTGAGACCTTTGCAACCCAAAGGGCAAGTTTAAATACTTCTTACCTGCCAATGTTAAATCTTGGCCTGATAGGGTTTGCTACGTGGCTGCTGGTAACCTGCGTCAGAGTCTCACTGTATTGTTCATTGAACAAGGCTGTCCCAAGGGGCTCACTTTCTGAATAAATGGGGGACAAATGAATGTTAAGAGGTTATTGAAGCACAGGGCTGAAGAAAATGGTTCTTGATGCTTTTGCTTCCTTCAATACATTAGCAATTCTTAGTTGCATGCCAAAAACTGATGCCAGTGCATGCCAAAGCCATGTTGCATGTTGTCTTCACAGGATACAGGGAGCCAGAAAAACACTGGCAATGCTGTGCAGTTCTTATCTGTGGCCATAGCCCAGTGCTGCTGACCTCCCCCATCATATCTTGCAACGTGGGACGGAGAGGGTGGGCTTAGCCTTCTGTTTGATGTCTGATTTGCATCTGTCCCTAGTTGTCTCCACCCCAATGGGAAACTGAGGCAAAAGGTGTGTAAACAGCACACACACAACCTGTGATGGACCCAGGTTGCCACAGGCCTGAACTTTTCTTCCTTTTCTTCTTTTCTTAGGCTGTTTAGCATCCTGCATCAGATCTTCCACTGGATTGGTTGACTGCCCAAACAGTGGGCACACGAGAGGAGACATGAAGCACTTTGTACAGTCAAGGATGATGGTACGGAAATCTTCACAGTGTGTGCAGTTACAATCTAGAGAGCTTAGTCAATGTAGGTACAGAAAAGATGTGTTGGGGTATATCTAATTAAAACTTAAGGGTAAATGAATCTGGAGAAATAGACAGCTTAGCTGATGGGGAAAGGTGGGATTGGAGGGAAGTTTTAGTTTTTTTCTGCAGGCCAATCACAAATGCTCCAAAGAGAGTTCTGAATAATAGTACACCAGTGTGGTATAAAAGTCATTACGTGTTTTCCCTGGCCTTGGATAACAGCAGTTATGTTGAAGTTCTCCACATTTTCACCAGCCCCAAAGCTGAAATTCATCTTCTGTTGTTGTTTATTTAGTCTGACTAGTTCTGGACAAGGTGTTAGCCCCTCATTCATTTGTGCTTAATGCACAGCAAGTCCAGCTGCCGAATATGGGACTTTTCTCGGCAGTTGTCTGCATTAGTGTCTGGCTACTAAGACCAAGCTCTGCTGCCAGACCTCCATGACACTGTCCAGACAAGGCTTTCCCAGAGTTGGATGAGCCTAGGAAAAGCAAAGAAAAAAAACCAACTCTTAATGAAATCAATGCCAATTTCAAATACCACACTATAAAGTGCTTCTACTTGTGAAGCTAGCAATCAGAAAACCTCTGCCTAGAAGAGGGCTCTGAACTGGCTCCTATTATGGGACCTGACACTGAGTTCTTGGTGGTAAATGACCACATTACTCTTTGGGGCCTGTGGGTGTCAGAGAAAAGATGCATGTGAGAAAAGTCACTAGCTGAAAGCAGGGCATGTTTTGAACACTAGAGGTAGTTTAGTAGCCCAAGCCTGTTTCTGATTAAAATCAGAGACCTTCAGATGAATGGAATGTAAACCACATACCAATTATTGGAATCCCATAAAGGAAACTCCCTTTTCCGTCTGTCTATCCATCCATCCATCCGCCCACCCACCCAAGAACAGTGTCCCAGAAATATCACTTTTTAGAAAGGATGGAAAAATTCAGTGCTTGCTTCCTTTTTCCTTACCTCCCAGGTGCTGGATGACAACTGAAGAGATGAAATTGCAGCGAAGCCACTTGAACACTTATCAAAGAAATGGACCTGCTAATTAAGAGGATAATGTTTCCTGGCACCAAGACAAAACATACAAAGCTGAATCTCAAGGCCTTCCTCAAGCAAACTTCTGTGGGAATGTGGCTGTGTGAGGGCTGCAAGAACAAGCCTTTAAGTAAAACCCACTCTAAATGAAAGCGTTAGATCAGCATGCTGGTTAGAAGAAAATGTACTTCCTGAAAACTAAGGCATGAGTATACCTGCTTCTTTTGCCAAATCTCACATTGCTTTGCATTCCCATTGCACTTTTTGTTGAGGCTATTCTGTGTATTGATTACAGTAATTAATCTTTGTATCACTTCTGTGAGGCAGGACATGTTTCTCCCACGTCCATTGTGCATTTTAACTATTACACTATCTACTTTACAAATAGTAAAACTAAGGCACAAAGTTCAGAGACACCAAATCAATGCCAGAGTACAGCAGAGTCCTATTCCTGGCTCTACGCACAATACACACGGTTTTTCCTATGTATGCAGTAATCTCAAACATGCTTCTTAACTGAGCAAATCTTCCCATATGAATGAGGGTAATATATCTTTTTTAGTGAGTATTCTGTATTTCTAACATCTATGACTCCACAGAATTTAGATCACGATAAAGATAATACTATGGCATGCTTTTTATATTTACTATAATTGTGAGACAGTTCAGTCTGAGTACAAAAGGCAGCCTTTGGACAGCTGGAAGAAGTTTTAAATGTTAATAATTTGGGTAAGAGTTGGTTCTACAGTGGTATTATGGTCTAGTTCACAGTAACTGTTTTTTGATACTTTGCTGGCCTCTAGAGGGATAACTTATACACCGGCTGAAGCAGTAACACAGGGATTTTAAGCATTACAGCCTGATCTTCAATCTTTCTTGCCAGGTAATTTGTTTCTATTTTGCAAGGCTTTTAAGTAGTGAGGCTTTGTAGCTCTTTGGAAACACTTTTTTCACTTCCATGATTTTCTTTCTGTCTGGGCAATAGGTGTAAGGTATGTTTCTTCTGCTTGAAGAAATAAGGGTAGAAGATCCTGGCAATAAACACCTCTCAGCCACTGAAGTGAGAAGCTCTGAGGAAAATGTGCCAGAAGGGTGTGAGAGAAAGAAATACAGAGAAGAGAATACAGCATTTTTATGTATAACTTTTATTTGTAATTTAAAAGCTCCTAAATGCTGAGGGTTCTTCTCATAACTCCTGTCCTGGTCAGTGAGAAGCGTAACTGTATTGTGTAAGCAAACAAACAAACAAATGGACCATGACTTTGAAATCCCCAGAAAGAAGCATATTTTCCCTGTCTTTTTCTGATTTGTGCTTCTCTTCTTGCATTTGCTGTATTCTCTGCTTCGTTCCCAAACTCCACCTTTTTATTTCTTTCAGGATACATGTATTAAATCTGAGAAAAACACTAAACAGAAAGGCTGAGTGTTTTCTGCTGAGAGTTGATAAAGTTTTATAAGCAGTAACTGCTTTCAGGGAATGTTGTAGCTTTCTTCAATATTAAGCGCACAATTTTCTTATGTTTCAGTATGCTTTTCTGTAACTTGACTGCGTAGCAGGCATCTTGGTGCTTTTGGAGGCCTGAGTTACTGTTCCAGCTCATCTGTAGACTTTATGCAACACCAGCAGCATACATCCTCCAGATCCTCAGCTCTATCCTAGCCCATAATCTCCAGTTCTAATGGCCTCAGAGTTGAAATATCTCATCTCATGGTATCTCCATTACCATCCTATTAGCAGTTTTCCACCTGGAGCGAGGTTGGCTTGCTGGACCTCAACCGAAACTAATTTAATAGAAACATAGAATATCCTGAGTTGGAAAGGACCCACAAGGACCATTGAATCCAGATCCTCATTCTGCACAGGACCACCCAAAAATCAGACCTGAGATGTCTGCAAGCATTGTCCAAACGCTTCTTGAACACCAGCAGCTCGGTGCTGTGACCACTGCCCTGGGCAGCCTGTCCCAGTGCCTGACCCCCCTCTGGGTGCAGACCCTTTCCCTAACCCCCAGCCTGACCCTCCCCTGTCCCAGCTCCATGCCGTTCCCTCGGGTCCTGTCACTGTCCCCAGAGAGCAGAGCTCAGCGCCTGCCCCTCCGCTCCCCTCGTGAGGGAGCTGCAGGCCGCCATGAGGCCTCCCCTCAGCCTGCCCTGCTCTGGGCTGGACAAACCAAGGGGCCTCAGCTGCTCCTCATACGTCTTGCCCTCCAGACCCTTCACCATCTTTGTTATCCTCTTTTGGACACTCTTTAAGAGTTTTATGTCCTTCTTACACTGTGGTGTCCAAAACTGCACACAGTACTCAATGTGAGGCCACACCAGCGCAGAATAGAGCAGGACAATCAAGTCCCTGCCCAGCTGGGACAGGCAGTGCCGTGCCTGATGCTCCTTGGGTTACGGCTGGCCCTCTTGGCTTCCAGGGCACACTGCTGGCTCATGTTCAGCTTGCTGTCGACCAAAACCCCCAGATCCCTTTCTGTGGGGCTGCTCTCCAGCCTCTCATCTCCCAGCCTGTACATACACTCAGGGTTGTCCCTTCCCAAGCGCAGAATCCAGCACTTGCTCTTGCTAAACTTCATATTGCTGGTGATCGTCCAGCTCTTCAATTTGTCCAGACCTCTCTGTGAGGCCTCTCATTGAGGAGGCCTTATTGAGGGTAGCCTCAATGGAATCAACAGCTCCTCCAAATTTGGTACCATATGCGGACTTAATCAGTATACCTTCAAGTCCTGCCAGCATCCAAGTAATCTATGGAATCAGGCTGTGGCTTAACCCGGCCGGCAGCTAAACACCACACAGCCGTTTGCTCACCCTCCCACCTCCCTCTCTAGGATGGGGGAGAGAAATGGGAAAGTGAAGCCTGTGAGTTGAGATAAAGACAGTTTATTAAGATAGGAAAATAATAATAACAACAATAATAATAATAACAATAATGATGATAATAGTACTACTACTAATAATGTGTACAAAACAAGTGATGCACAACGCAATTGCTCACCACCCGCTGACTGATGCCCAGCCTAACCCCGAGCAGTCCGTCCCTCCTCCCTGTGGCTAGCCACCCCTATATATTGTTCAGCATGACCCCACACGGTATGGAATACCCCTTTGGCCATTTTGGGTCAGCTCCCCTGGGTCTGTCCCCTCCCAGCTCTTGCTGCACCCCCAGCCTGCCTGCTGGCAGGACAGAGTGAAAAGCTGAAATGTCCTTGGCTCGGTGTAAGCACTGCTCTGCAACAATTAAAACATCAGCGTGTTATCAGCACTCTTCTCATCCTAAACCAAAACTTAGCACCCTTCCAGCTACTAGGAAGAAAATTAACTCTGTCCTAACTGAAACCAGGACAAATCATTAAGAGAACTGTCCCTAAAATGGAGCCCTGGGGAACCCACTAGTGACTGGCCACCAGCTTGATGTAACCCCATTTACTATTACACTTTGAGCCTGAATTTGTAATTCCTCTGTGCCTACTAATATGATAACCATAGAATATGTTTGTTAACTTCTTCCTTTCTCTTTAGGATGAATGTCAAGAGCTTTCAGTGTAGGAAGGAGCCTCACCTAGGGACTATCTTGATGTCAAATGCTATTTTAACATTTAAGTTAACATACTTCTTGACCAAATTCTCCCATGCAGTCCCTTGCACCGTTTAAACATATATGCAAATGTTACCAGGTGTGACAAAATGTCAAGATCTCACTGGTAGGTTATACATCTGTCACAGGATTTGCTTCTGTTCAGCTTTTTTTTTTTTTTTTTTTTTTTTTTTTTTTTTTTTTTTTTTTCCTAGCAAAACAGCAGAAGAAGTCAAATGCTGTAGTAATCCTGATGTCTAGCTAGAGTCTACAGCAAAACTCATTTAGAGTTCAGGAGGACTAGGCTTCCAGTCTTCTGTGGAAAAAATCCACCACTCCAGCATGCCTGTCTCCCATGGAAACATTTCCTCTAATTCCTTCTCTGTGCTGATATTCTGTAAGGTATGTCATCAAAATACCCAAATTTGACCTGTAGTTTTGTCAAAATTTATATGTACTCCTCAGAAAATTCAAGGAGTTATCAAGTTAAAACACTGAAACATAATGTAGCAACATATAAGCATTTGGTGAGAACTTTAAAAATCATCTGAGCAACTATTGATACTTGCTGTGTGCTGCTTCAGAAGCCAGAAAAGGTAGCTTGTACGAAACTGGTCTTCAGGAGGATGTGTATTTACTAAACACAGTTGTGGGGAATCATGGGGAATCTGTGTAGTCTCTATGTATTTTTAGTGGTTTTTGTTTGTTTGTTTGTTTAATGTCTCTAAACAGAATAAAAATTAAAAAAAGGAATTCAACTGATTCAATTAAGAAAATTAAAGGAGCTATGCAGAGCTGCAGAGTTTCAGTGTTATTTTGCAGGCTTGGTTAGTGTGTGGTGTGCAAAAGGAGGCAATCAAGAAGTAGCTGTTGGCTGTTTTGGCCCTAAAATATGTACTAGAAATTACTGGATTAGGGGAGATGGTAACTAAAGATGCCAGGGAACTGCAACAGCTACATGTCATCTGTGCAACAAATAACTGGGGTCAAAGAGAAAGCACAAAGACCACATTCAAGGACTGTGTCCTTTTGTTGTGGGAAACAGCCTCACAATGCAGATGCTTATTCGTTCAAAGCAACCTTGAAGAAACTGCTAGAAACGGGGACAAATTCAAAAAATATGCAGGTCAGTGCTAGCCTTTCAGGAAGACAATGCCAGGGTATTTTGGATTCATCAGCTTGCAGGTGACAACACAGAACAGGCTGAAAATGTTGTAGCAATTCTACAGCTACGACAATGACACAACAATGATTACTGTGTTATAAAATGAGAGATAAAGCAAGGCTTGATACAACCTCAGTGGTTGCTTTAACTTTGCAGCCAGGCTATCAAAGGCACACTAGAGGGATGAATTTGCAAATAATAATAATAATAATAATAATAATAATAATAATTCGTAATAATAATGCTCTGAGCAGTTTTAACAGGGGAAATCCTTTTTCCCTTGGATATTACTACTGAAAAGGTCACAAGTAATTGAAAGAAAATTAGGCATAAGGCTCTCTGTTGTGGAGCACAGGAGTGCTGCATTTGTTGGCAGAGGGTAGCAAAAGGGTATTCATCTGATCTGCTGAAGTACGGGATATGCAGACTGTCTACTATGGAGCCTAAATTAGGTGCTGAATTTCTCTCACCACCCCCACCCCTGAGCTTTGGTTTGAATCACCCATTATTCTCTTGAATTTGGAGGCTGTAGCAGGCATGCAGTGTCATTGAATATGTCCCAGAATGCCTGAGGGTTTAGGGAAAAAAGGGGGGAGGGAGGGAGAGAGGTGGGGGAGATTCCTGCCTAAATAAAAAGGGAGCTTTGGTTTCAGGTATGTCAGAGTTGGATCAAAATTTCTGGGAAGTCCAAAAAGCACATGATTTCTAAAGAGGTTTCACCTTTGCCTGTAAAGTGAATGTGTGATTTTCTTGTATGGAGTAGAGGCTTATCATGTGGTGGAAGGTCTTTCCTGTCTTTGCGTTTTGATCTTTCACATCAGCAGAATGTAACTGTGCTCATGGTGACAGAGGAAGTTATCAGGTACTAAGGGCTGCTGGGTAGGAAATGATTTTCTGCCATTGCAAACAGCCAACTTCTAAATCTTGTTCTAGAAGTACATGTAAAGGTCTTATGCTAAGAACGACAGAGAAATGTGGTTGTTTATGGCACCAACTGTTAATGATAGTCATTTCCAGCTATCGTCCAACTGGCAAATATTGGTTATGGCTTGCCAGTGGAAGCAGGAGACAGCAAGACTGAAGGAACTGGAAAGTTGTTTTATGGCATATTCTGATATGATGGTGCAAGGTGTAACATGACTCCACGTTGTCTGTACCATAGCATATGACGGCAAATGGATTGACTCATATACACAAACTGTTGTTTGTCACTGCCTTTAGCTGAAAACAAGTTAGAGTAGCTAATTTATATTTTCAGATTATTGTTCTTGTGAAATACAGTTCTTTTATGCTCCAAGCAACATCAGAATCCTGTGAAGCTGCTGAACCACAAGTCTCTGAAAGAATTAACCACATATTTCTATGCAACTAAAGGGGGGAATTTTTATGTTAATCATAGTAATGCCTCTGTAACTTTCTAATGTCTTTTTCATAGATTCATGAAGTGTAAAGCTGGAAGGGACCATTAGTTTCTTTCACAACCATTGGATTTCATTTGTTTTATGTTAAGGCACTAAGCATACAAGAACTTAAAACAGCTTTCACCGTGTTTTACACTTTCAAGATTGGCCAGAATACCATATGCATAGATAGCCTTCAGATGTTCATTATAATTAGCAAATCTTGCTATCCAAAAGCCAACTGTTCCCATATGATTTTTCCAT